TTCTATAATAAAGCATGACTATTTTTGCATTGTTGGATAATATATAATTTATATCATTTGTTCAAATAAAAAAATAGCGTATCAAATGATTTAAATGTATCCTTTTAAAATATAAGGTTACTATGATATAGTAAACTAATAATATAGTAAAAATTGTATTTCACGCAATGATATAGGTGATAAACCTGTGGTAATGGAGCAAAATTCGAGAATGTTATTTATATATATACATATATATGACAAAATGTATTATGTAAGGAACAAAATAGAATGTTACTATGGAGAAATCCTAGTCACATAGGAATGAAAAAAGAATATGTTAATTATGAATTATTATATTTTATTATTATATGCAATATTATTGCATATATTATAAATGCTATTTGACATCCAAAATTCGATTAATTAAAAATTATATAGTTGCAAGGTTTTTGCTTTAATTATTATTGAATATTAAAAAAAATATTAAAATAAAAGTCTAATCAAGAAAAAAAGAAAAATTATAACTATGTTTGTTAACCAAAATAAAGAGAAAATAGCCAGAAATGTTAAAGTAAAAAACTTGTTACAAGTAATAAATTAATAATATTGTATAAAGAACGATAGAATCACACAATTTTATTTTGAATGCATTATATAGAAGTATTGTTGCATTTAAGGAGAAAGAAAGAACTATTAATGGACATTTTTGTCCATTTTTAAAAAGTATATTGTTCTTTTATTAAGTGTAAATATAATGTTACAAATCATACTATGTTTGTATTATAACTACCAAATATCAAAAAAGTATGAAAAAAGAACTTAAACTAATATTAATTTACTTATAACATATAATTTCCTTTTATTTCCTATATCATTTTTTGTATTATTTGAAAATATAAAGTTGTATATAATTTATAATGCAAATTTTATAAAATAATGAGAATGGTTTTTTTATTATAACAGAATAAAAAATTAAATTTTCACAAAATTAATAAGAATTCATAGAAAAAATTTAAATTTGTTACGTGAATTTAAACAGTTTGAAAAAAATCATTGAATATATATCAAAGTAATATTTATATTATTTATTTGTCAATCATTCATTCCTATATATATTGGAAATTAAACAAAAATCAGATATGCATATCGATCTAACTAAATATTTTTGCTATGAATATAATAAATAAAACATAAATAAAACATATGTGCACATATTTATTTAAAAGATTAAAAGATAAAAATAAAATATTCAAATTTTTGAATTGAATATATAATAATAATTATCTATCATCTTTATAAAATTATTAAGTATTTTATTTATAAAATAAATATTTTATAATTCTATTAAAATATTAAAAACAATATACATATATATATGTATATAAATTTGGAAATATTAAAGAAAATTTTGTGTAAATACATTTTGTAAAAAAAAAATAAAATTAAAATACATTTGAATTAATTATATTAAATTAATAAAAGATCATTTTAAATTTTAGGAAAATGTAATTTTTTCATAAACTTCTAATTCCTAAAAATACGTATTATGCCATATTTATATAATTGAAATTGTTGGTTTTATCAATGAATTTTTATCATATAAATATGTTAACAAATATAAAAGAAAATAGATAAAATGTTGTAAATTATTTATTAATTTATTTACTGAAGATGAAATGAATACTGCTAGATAAAGTAAACTCGATAAAAATTTATTATATTTATTAGTTAAATATTTTTAATGTTTAATACTAATATTATCATTTGTCATATTATAGAGTAAAAATAACATTTCTTTCTTTTCAGAAAAATATCAAATGTTCAATTATTTATTTGTAATTTAATTAATATTACATAATATTAATTAATAATAATTAATTTACATAGAAGATAGATATATATTTTAATATAAATTATAGAATTATATTCTTTATAAAAAAATTTATCTCTAATAGAAATTTATAAATTATAAAACTATAATTTATTTATTTTACATATCAATTTTAATTTACTATCATTCACATATAAAGAAAGAAGAAAAAACGAAGAGTTTTTTCCAAAGATCAATATAAAAGATGTATTTACATTTTATTATTATTTGTTGTTGTTTGTGGTAACGTAGAAACAGATATACTAAACGCGGCAATAAATACATTTATGATAGTTATTAGAAAAACACCGATTACTACGTAATTATTGATTTTTCGTGCTTGTAATGATTTTGATTGTCCTTTTATATCAAATCGACCTTTGAAAATCAGACTGATTCCTACGACCACCTAAAATTAAACAAATCAAAATATTTTAAATAGTTATTAATCATAACTAAGATCGTACAGATAATCTGAAAGAAATTCATTTATACTTAATTCATTCTTAATTCGTGGTTATTATTTATATTATTTATATTAAATAGATTTCATTCAATCGTATATTAATATTCGAGTCATATAAAAAATAAGAAATTTAAAATTAATAATTATTATTTACTTTACCTGAAGAAAAAGACTGATGATTATTAAACTCATAATCAAATAAAATGTAGGGCTCTCTCGTTGATACTCAATCAGATATCTTAATTGATTCGCATTGGCAGTGATTAGGGCAACATCCATCATACCTTGTGCCACGGTTTTTTTTGCGGCATAAGTATTGGATTGTTTATATGCTTGAGATTTTTTATCTATTGTATCGGTAGAAAACACAACATCTTTCACCACTACTTCTTCCATCACTTCCAATTTGTTTTCTTTCTCGTTTTCATCCATAATTTCTTTCTTACATTAATTTTTACTTCTTTTTTGTTTTTTAATCCGGTTTTTTAAACATGCAGTGTCTTTATTTTTTTCGCGATTTTTTAATTTTTTACGCGAAATAACACCAATAACATCAATACATAATTTATTTCTTAAACTTCATGATTTCTTTTTTAAAAATCAATTACACACTTGTCACAATATGTTTTTTATTTTTAATATTCATTTATTTATTATGAACAAAAAGAATAATCAACTTCTAACTGAATTTCGTGATAATTATTCCGATGGGATAATGGGATTTCGTACATTAGTATTGTTAGGATACTAATGTACGAAACAAAGTATTAAATTAAACTGCTTCAGTTGTTGTATGTAAATAATTCGTCAACAAATCATTATCACTTCGAATGGTTAAATGTTTCTTCCGCATTCTCATTGTTTAATCACTAATATCAAAAATGGAAAACGCTTTGTTCAAGTATTTCTATGAAAAGTAATTCAGATATGAGTTTGTCCTTTTTTACGCGTTCTAATTGAACTTTAATACAATATTTATCGAATTATCAATCAATTAATATCGAAAATACATTTCTGCACATTTATATAAAAAAATCACATAACTTTTTCAATTTTTTTAATCGAATAAAATAATAAAAAAAACTTGATAAATTCCGCATTTATTTGGACCGAAAATAAATATAAATAAAAATATTTTAGCTTTATATATTTTAACTTATCTATAAAAGTATTAGAAGAAACAAAGTCAGAGAAAAAATAACGATAACTATTATCGTATCGTTCTATATTAAAACTAAAATGACGTGGTTTTGATGAAACCACATGTAACACGTGATCGAAAGGAAATGTTTAAGGACAATAAATATACACATACAGTTTGTGTCAATCAAGTGTTAATTCATTATTTTTATCATCGAATATATACCATTTTTTATCGTATTCAGACAATAAAAACAAAAAAACAATAGTGATAATAAGAAACAATTTCAGCTATTTTCTCTGATTATTATTTGACTTAGAAATCTGTAGAATGTTAATATATTTATAAGACATTTTTTTATTCCTAGAAGTCAAAATAAAAATTTAATGTCAAGTCAATATAAAAATATTAATTAAGATTTGTTTTATTAAATTATATAACAATTGAAATTTGCATTAAATGAAACAAAACAGAGATAAAATGAGATATTTCTGATATTGCCATTTTATATAAACTTCAATTGCTTATAATTTAATAATCTTAATGTCATAACTTTTATTTTAATTTTTAGAATCGACTCTTCAAAAGTATTTCACAAATGCATTAACATCGTGCATATTTTAAAAAAAGTACAATTACAAAAATTATATAATAAATAGAAAAAATATAATAAAAATATAAATAATAAATAGAAGAATAAAATTAATTCAATTAAATATTTGAATATAAACATTATGACATTTTTCTTCTTTTGTACTGTACAATTGTGTTGTTTTTTCGATTGTAACTCAAATTAATCGATCGCATTCCAAGATAAGATCCTTAGATACTTAGATAAGTAAATCATTATATGCGATCAACTTTTTTTGTTTTTATTTTGTTCTATCCTAAAAGAAAAAAGTAACATATTATATAATATATATAAAAATTAAATCTATCTAATGAAAGATAGATTAGATTAAAAAAGATGCAAAATATTATTTTAAAAATCAAAAATAATTATTTAATTTTTATCGATAATAATAATTACATTTAAAAGACGATATATGAATAATGATTTCATATTATTTCCATTAATAAAAAAAATATTCTTCTTTCCTATTAATTGTATTTATATTATATTTATCTTATGTAATTATGATATGTATAATATTTAAAAAAGACAGCACGACCTCTTTCGTGTCAATGGTATTATTGATAAACTCGCAGAAATTTCATTATAAAGATTTCAGAATTTGCGTTTCATGTTCTTTCTGAAATAACAATTTATACAAAAGAAAAGTGTGTTGTAATTGACGAGTCATGCAGGTGAGTTTTTATGATATACATACAATTGATTAATACAGAGATTAAATAAATTTCGATTTTATCAATGCGAGACACGATTCATATTGATTAGCTATATATATATACATTATATACATGCAAACAGGAAAATTGTGAAAAATTATGGGGAGGCCGTTTTATGGATAATATCGATCCAAAATTTCATGATCTGAACGCATCGATTGATATTGATAAACGAATGTATGCAGAAGATATAGAGGTTTGTATATAAAATAATAAGAAATAATATTAAATATGTATGATTAAATATATGAAAATTTATATAAAACATTTATATATACATTTAAATTAAAGAAAAAGAAAAAATTAGAAATATATTTATTACATATTTAATACAATAATAAATACACTTTTTAATATTCTATAAATCTTCAGGGAAGTATGGCATATGCAAAAGCAATAAGATTGGTCAATCTTCTCACAGATGAAGAATTACAAGTTATACTGAATGGTCTCAAACAAGTAAAAAAAAAATTTGTATAATTTATAATTTATAATTAGTTGTAACAAAAATATTAATTTCATTTGCTAATACGATCGAATATAAAAAAAACATTTAATACAGATGAAAACTGAATGGGAAGAGGGTCGATTCACTATACATATCAAAGATGAAGATATCCATACTGCGAATGAGCGTCGACTTACGGTATATATACATATTGGTTATAATATCATTTTTTTTAAGATGAATATAATAGTTTAAATTGCTTTTATTTTATTAGAACAAATAAATAATGAATATTTACGAAAATATAATATTTCTATTTTTCTTCTTCATAAGATCAATTCAAAGAAAATATTTATTTTTTTATTGGTTTCTTGATAGGAATTAATCGGGGATGTTGCAAAGAAATTACATATCGGAAGAAGTCGAAATGATCAAACTATAACTGATACAAAATTATGGCTTCGAAAAGCTATAGACGTGCTTTTAAAGAAATTGATGAAATTCATTCAGGTAAGAAAGTCAAAATATATCAACAAAAAGAAAAACTATAATTGGAACGAAAGACATATATAGGTTCTTGTCGATCGAGCTGAAAATGAGATAGAAATTATTATGCCCGGATACACTCATATGCAACGTGCTCAACCAATAAAATGGAGTCAATGGTTACTCAGGTATGAAAATAATATATAGTATAGTATAGATATGTTTTTTATTTGGAATTTGAAATTTAAAATAATAGAATTGAAATTTTTTTTATAGTTATGCATGGTATGCTAAGGCAGATATTGAGAGATTACAAGAAATTCGAAAACGAGTAAACATTTTGCCTTTGGGCAGTGGCGCAATAGCTGGAAATCCTTTCCAAATTGATCGACGTACTTTGGCCAATGAATTGGATTTTTCTGAAATAACGGAGAATAGCATGTATGCTATAGGAGATAGAGATTTTGTTGGTAAGCGAAAAATATTTTAAACAATATATTATATATTTATACAATATATTTATAACATATATTCAATGAAATCAATAATAAGATGTAAATATATAGAACAATAAAGATGTAATATAAAGAACAAATTTAATTGAAATGTTAGAAAGATGTCAAAAAAGAAAAAAATTCTTTTTTCAATTTACATATTATAAATTTTTTTTTTCTTTTAAAGTTGAATTTCTTTTTTGGTCTTCATTAACGGTAATTCATCTAAGTCGTCTTTCTGAGGATTTGATCATTTATAGCAGCGAAGAATTCGGTTTCGTGAGATTTGCTGATCAATTTTCTACAGGTAGTAGTTTGATGCCTCAAAAACATAATCCTGATTGTATGGAATTAATTCGAGGAAAAGCTGGTACTTTACTTGGAAAGGTTTGTAATTCTATAAATTATTTTTAATGATAGATGCATAGATTTAGATACATTTAGATTATTTAATTATGTTTTATGGCATTTCATTCTAGTGTATGGGTTTCATGATTACTTTGAAAGGAATTCCGTCTACATATAACAAGGATCTTCAAGAAGATAAAGAAGCTATATTTTCTACTTTCGATATATTAGACAGTATACTTGTTATCGCTACAAATGCAATAAATACGCTTGAAATAAAAAACAAAAAGTGCGAAAAAGCGCTAACATCTACTATGTTAGCAACTGATATGGCATATTATCTTGTTCGAAAAGGGGTTAGTATTCGAAGTAAAAAATAATTTATTATAAATCAAATTTTTAAATATATGTCATCTAATTTTAATTTTTTTTTTAAATAATGAATTTTTAATAGATACCGTTTAGAGAAGCTCATTACTTAACTGGAAAAGTTGTTGCTTTGTCAGAATTATTAAAAGTATCTCTTTGTAAATTGTCACTTAAAAATTTACAATCTATAAGGTAAATTATTTGATTGAAAATTTAAATGAAAATTTATTTCATTGAAATATCCAATTTTTTATATTATTTTTTAGTACTAAATTTCAAAAAGATGTGAGGCAAATTTGGAATTTTTCTCATAGTGTTGAACAATATAAAGTTACAGGTGGAACCAGTACAACAGCATTAATAGAACAAATTAATAAACTTCGAACTTCATTGATATAATAATTCTGTCTAAATAATGTTCTAAATAAAAATAAATAATAAAAAAATAATTCAAAATTAATATGTGATAAAGATTAGAAAGCTGTTTGATTTTTATGATTCTACTAATTTCTGTTCGACTGTTTCACGCTCCCACAATATGTCATCGCTCTACGTGCGTTGAGTATCGCACATGAATCTCCTTTCACGATTTTCCACCCGAATGTGACGAATTGCTTAAAATAATAAATGAAGTTATAAATCGTCTTGTGACATCCATTGAAAAGTAGAACAGAAACTGTATCATTATTACGAATTATGTTGGCCGAGAAAATAGGTTATGCAGCAATTATATATTGGGGTTATAAATTTTCTTGCAATATAATATACCGAATATATAAGAATTTCTTCTCCGTGTCTGTGGTTGATTTATGCTCTATGGGTAAATGGGCAGTTGTCACAGGATGTTCCCATGGAATTGGAAGAGCATACGCGGAAACATTGGCGAAGATAGGATTGAATGTGATTCTAGTTAGTCCTGATACGGAAAATTTAAAAACCATTGCAAGCAATATCGAAGCAATGTACAATGTGAAAACAAAAGTAATTAAATTAGATTTATCGGAAGGCTTGGAAACATATAATGTTATCGAAAAAGAAATGTTTGGCCTAGAAATTGGCATATTAATCAACAATCTTGGCATGTCATATCCGCATCCAGAATATTTCTTGGATCTTCCTCATAAAGAAAAGATCTATATGAGTATTGTTCATTGTAATGTAGTAGTTGTGACAAATATGTGTCGTATTTTATTACCACAAATGGTGGTTAGAGGAAAAGGAGTTATAGTCAACGTAGCCTCCATGGTAGCAGTATTACCGAGCCCTCTGTTGACAGTCTTCGCAGCCACAAAAGCGTATATCGTGAAATTTAGTAGAGATTTGCAGATAGAATATGGAAAACATGGTATAATCGTGCAGTGTTTGTTACCAGGCACAGTCACTAATCATACCACAGA